TTCAAGCACTTCAAAATGTCACTTCAAGCCGCCCTATCATCCTAGACATTTTAGAACTTTAACAACGATCTTTCTACTGGCCAATGTGACATCGTCCTCTGCTGGTTGCCGGGTCACGTTGGCATAGCAGGTAACACAAGAGCAGATGCTGCAGCTAAAGCAGCTCTATCTCCGCTGCTGATCCCGTACAGTGACTTCAAACCCACATTCGAAAGTCATACTTGGGACCTTTTGCAAGAAAGGTGGCACACCCAAGAAGGAAGAAATAATCTTCATGAATTTAAACCAATAATTGGTTATACCTACTTGGGTTGTCAGTCAAAACGTGAGGGGGTAATTTTACGACGATGTCGTATTGGCCACAGTCGGTTTACTCATGACTATCTGTTCAAAACGGATGGAGATGGACCTCCTATGTATTTCTCTTGCGATGAAGTGTTCACCATTAAGCATATTCTGCTTGACTGTGCGGACTTTTCAAATGCAAGGGATTCCCATTATGAAGCGATAAATCTGAAAGATCTATTTTCCAGCCTGGGCGGGCATCTCATTGTTAACTAATTGAGGGAAGTTGACCTGTATCACAAGTTGTAACTATGTAATGTGAATAACGAACTGCTTATTTTTTAATTTGGTGCTATGATATTTTCTGTTTGCAAATAACAATATAATGAATACATATGTGTTTAAAATAAAACTCATTTGGACTTGTTTATGAATGCACACCTGATCTCGTCACTATATGGCTGAAATAATACCGATATGACGTAAAGCCCAACTCAACTCAACTCAACTCATGTATAGGTAATCCTATCATACTATCATAATACCGTCATATATAGGTAATCCTATCATACTATCGTAATACCGTCATATATAGGTAATACTATCATACTATCGTAATACCGTCATATATAGGTAATCCTATCATACTATCGTAATACCGTCATATATAGGTAATCCTATCATACTATCATAATACCGTTATACATAGGTAATCCTATCATACTATCGTAATACCGTTATACATAGGCAATCCTATCATACTATCATAATACCGTTATACACAGGTAATACTATATCCCGTTACTACGACTGTGTTCTATCTACATCAGTGTGTAAACATCTGGATCTCCGCAGGAAATCCTCCCACATTCAGCTGACACGCTGTTATAGTTCACAGTTCAAAGCGGTTTCAAATCCAACTCACTCACTCTGTCACTCACTGGGTTTAAACTCTACTTCCAACTGCATGTAAAATAAACAATATGAAACCAACTTTCTTTGAGTGGCATTTCAGAAGTTGGGAAGTACAATATAGAAGAAACTTTATGGATAACAAATTCTTTATTCGGGAGTGCGACGTTTCGATTCAGATTCTTGTTTCCGTTGTCAAGTATGAATGGAACATGAAGAAGGGGGATGTACATATACTGAATGAAACAATGTAATAAAGAAAAGAACATAATTAACATAATTGGCTAGGCAGTAAGCTGATGAAGTCAGAGAGTAGACAAAGGGAGTGTCCTCATAGTGTAGGCACCTTTTGTTCATAATTACTGAAGCAATCAGACATGTCAAATAGCAAAACAAAGGGATTACTGGGGGACCGTATCAGTATAAACTGGTGACACAAAGTTAAAACTTTTAATTTTCAATACAGTAACATACTCAATAGTATTTATTTTATAAAAAATACAATTAATATTAACTATATGTACCCACACATTCATAAAATGTTTTAGCAAACTTTACAAGAAGAAATAGGTACTGGAACTTCAAAGCACTGCATGAACTACATTCATGTTAGCACTGAAAGACATTACAATTAAAGTCCAACTAAATGTGACATAGAATCAGCAAATTCCATCGAGGTTTTCACAGCGTTTGCAAGTAGAGACTTCTGATTTCATCATCGATGTGTCCACACTTCTTTTGGGGGGCCTGCTTAGCACCATGTACAATCTGAACTATTGTTTCAGTGTGGCTCTGCTCTTTCCGGATTAGGTCAATGAATCTATATATACTGAGTCAAAAAAGAAACTTCACAAAATGTAATTTGAAAAATAATGAATAATTTTTCTCTGATGATACATCTATGTATCCGAAATGGGATCACTATCTGTCGACCCTAGAAAAACGTTAGCAAAACCCACTCAATCCCATACATTCATCGTGCAAATGACGTTAGTGCCAAATCAGGTTTTGCACGTGCAGTCGATCACGTGATCTTCGCATCGAAGTTTTCTCCATATGCACGTGTTTGCATTGGCCTCAAGAATTGAAAAAACACTTTTAAACCACAGTTCTAACGGTACTTGAAATGCCACGATTGTCAAATGTGCAACGTGAACGTGCCGTTGGCATGTTGCAAGCTGGAAGATCAGTTATTGACGTCGCAAGAGCAATGGGATGCAGCCGTCGTACTGTGTATGACTTGCGAGGTCGTCTTCAACAAACTGGCACCACTTCTGATCGCCCAAGGTCGGGTCGTCCACGTGTGACGTCACGAGCAGAAGACCGTCAAATCGTCCTACGTCACCTACGTGACAGATTTCTGCCGGCTACACGAACCAGGGCTGAGATGTTTAGAGGTCGACTGTCCTCACAGACCATTCGAAATCGGTTGCGGGCTGCCAATCTCCATTCTCGACGTCCATATCGTGGGCCAATATTGACGCCGTTTCATCAACGTCAACGTCTGCTGTGGGCCCAACGTCACCTCCGATGGACCCAGAGAGAGAATGGAATCGAGTCGTCTTTAGCGATGAATCCAGGTTTACCCTCAGATTCGCGGACGGCAGGCATAGAGTCTGGAGACGACGTCGTGAACGGTATGCCCAATGTTGTGTACAGGAAGTCGGCAGATTCGGGGGCGGAAGTTGCATGGTGTGGGGTGCTTTCTGTGGGAACAACCGTTCCCGACTTCTGGTCATCCGAGGAAAGCTCACAGCCGCTGCTTACCGCGACCAGGTGCTCACCCCCTGAACTCGTTCCTTTCATGGCGGCTCATGGCCCAGGTCTACAGTTCCAGCATGATAATGCTCGGCCGCATACCGCGATGTTGACACGAAATTTCCTTCAAAACGCTGGAATCAACGTCATGGACTGGCCATCGAGGTCCCCTGACCATAATCCAATAGAGCACGTTTGGGATGCACTTGGGAGAAGGCTTCGTGGTCTTAGGAACCAACCTCAGAATTTGCAGGAACTTGGCGCTGCCTTGCAAGAGCAATGGCGCAGAATCCCCAACCACGTGTTCACAAGCATCAGGCAGTCGATGAGGAGACGGTGTTTGGCAGTGGTGAATGCGCGGGGCGGCCATACACGATATTGAACTGAGAAATTTCGCATGTTTATTCTTGTGACTTGACATTCTGTATACCCATGTTTTGGAACGGCGGTGTAGCCTAATGGAACTGATTATGGCATTGTCAGTGTATCGAGTACATCACACAGATCTCAGCAATGAAATAATAACAATTTAACCATCTTACCATCTCTTGTTCTTTTATAGTGCCCTGAAGAAAGAATGTGAAGGTTCTTTTACCACTCAGTATATATTGGGATGGTTCTGGCCAATTTTGTTAAGTCTTGCATGCCAGGATTCGACCTGATCTGTGGTCCTGGCACCCTCAGTGTAGTATCAGTTGATATCAGTCTGACAATCTATCAGTCGGAATATCTTCCTAGGCCATGAGTTAAGTTCATGAGACGATCACTTTCCTTATAACAACATCACTAATCCTAACCCTCTACGGGCTGCCTGCACAGTGAGGAGAAACCAGACAAAGGACAGGCGTGGAAGCCAATGATGTACAGATAATAATGAGATTGAGTTTATACAGTAGATTGGGCTTGGTGGATGAGTGCATCATAAGCGGATGGAATGAAGTATCCTTGGTCTCGGTTGATGGTGGGCTTTTGGCGTTTGATGTGGATGGCTTCTGTGAGCTTGCGTTTAGGCCGGATCGACACTACGACCGAAAATTTTGACGCATGCGTTGATCCGTGCGATTTTATATACACACTATACGCTTTTTTCCACAGCTTATGAACTGCGTTTTCATTCACGATTTAAAGTGAGTGAGTATGGTTTCACGCCGCTTTTTGAAATATTCCAGCAATATCACAGCGGGGGACACCAGAAATGGGCTTCAAACATTGTGCCCATGTGGGGATTCGAACCCGGGTCTTCGGCGTGACGAGCGGACGCTTTAACCACTAGGCTACCCCCACCGCCCCCCACGATTTAAAATGGAACCAAGCAAGTTAGCCGCAGTCGTGGTACTGATGGTGGAGGTGGAGGAAGAAGAAGAAACAGAGGAAGAACTTCTGACAAGTGTGATCTTTTTGCACTACAATAGTGATGTTTCAGAGAGGAGTGTGAGTTAAGTTTTACGCCGCACTCAGCAATATTCCAGCTACATGGCGGCGGTCTGTAAATAATCGAGTCTGGACCAAATAATTCAGTGATCAACAGCATGAGCATCGATCAACATTTCAGAGAGGAGATGGTGGGTACATTCACTCAGTGAACAAAGACACAAGGAGGGTTCTTATTATCGACTGATAAAGGAACTGGAACTCTATCCTGAGAAATACTTTGGGTATTTCCGCCTTTCTAAAGAACAGTTTTCATGACATCAAGATTTGCATTCGGTGGTAATAAAATTGCATCAAAACAACTGTATTAACAGTCTATGTATATATTTGATCTTACCCTCTTGTACAGTAACACCCAAAGTTTGAGATATTGATGTCCAGATATTATTGATGACGTCAATATCTCGATACCCCTTACTACCTGTGAAGGTCCGGGTTAGAATGTGCCTTCAGTAACCAACGCTTGTCATAAGAGGCGACTAAGTGGATCGGGTGGTCAGGCTCGCTGACTTGGTTGACATATGTCATCGGTCATCGATGCTCATGCTGTTGATCACTGGATTGTCTGGTCCAGACTCGATTATTTACAGACCGCCGCCATATAGCGGGAATATTGCTGAGTGCGGCGTAAAACTAAACTCACTCACTCACAATAATCCTTACGCCTCTTGTCATAAAGAGCAGGGTTTCTTCACACTCATGAAGTCTGAAAACATAACACTATCAACTATATATTTATTCACTAAGTGTATCAAATGAAATGCGCTGATATCAATGGAAACGCCAAAACAGAGAAGAGAGAACGTACCTGATTGCAGCCACAAGGTGGGGGAACACCCTTGAGCACGTGTAAATATATACGTCATCAAAGGAATTCCCATGCGTTTTCCAATGCGATGCGTCAAAAATAGGTGCAGGACCTATTTTCATCCCATCGCATCGCAACACATTCACAATTCGGATGTAATGTGAATGACATATGATAAAATAACTTAATGCTGTTTTTTTGGACGCAACGCAAGAAAAATCGGATGTAGTGTGAAGCCCCCCCTTAGTGAAGTCTGTTTGTTGGCGAGAATGGTGATGTCAGACCACTCTGTTTGATGTTTGGGGCTTGCTCTTTAATGTGGTCGGAAATGGCGGGTAGCTCTGTCCACAATCACAGTTTATTTTGTAGATGACACATTTTTGGTTGTTATTCTCGAGGGTGGCTGGTTTTCTTCCATTAGCATGGCGAATGTTGTTGAGGCTGGAGGACGCGGAGAAGGTGATATCTATGCAAACTTGTTGTTTTAGGAGTCGGCTGATTTGAGGTGACGGTTTGCCAATGTAGGGGATGGACATCGGTACAAGAATCTGTATCGAAACGTCGCACTCACGAATAAAAGTTGTTATCCATAAAGTTTGTTCTATAAAGAAACCAACTTGGTTAGTACCGGATGCAGGTCAGTTAATATCTATAAAGGTGAGCTTCTGTACCCGCAGTCTTCTGAGTAATATCATCTACATATTCCCGCACAGTTCTGGAGTACAATGTCAACATGTACGAAGTTTTATTACAATGAATACATCATACGTAATGTATGTCTGACACATGCTGCATACACAAACACCCACTCCCAGTGTCAGCATTGCCGTAGACGGACTCACGTCAACTGTTGAGATATACCACGTCTACAATACCCACCCGGTTTAATACCATCTTCACGATTTATAGCTTTTGACAGTACACCAACACCAGGCGGACTGGCAACAGATTAAGTGCTTCTCGAGCTTCAACCAGTCGTCGCGAACGCCCCAAGTCACAGTATGGACAGCCGGCGGGGACATCGCTGTATCAGGAAATGGTAAAGTCACCGTGCAGTGTACCCCAGTTAAAGGCGTCTACCCCCGGGGAAATCTGTGTATCGCCTGAAGTGTTCTTTCCTGACATTATATAAACAAGTTGCTATTCATAAATGTTATCTACTTTGTCATCCGGTTACTGCCTATCAAACAATTCATCCATAAATAGTTTCTGCTTTAAAGCACTTGACTTGCTCAAATTTGTTAGTTAAGTGAATTAAGAGTGAATGATTGTATAATTGACACAGAGGCACTGTCTCTACAACTCTAGACCAAACTCCTCATTAACGTACTGTGCACTCACACCCCAAGAGGTAGGTCTCAGAATCGTAGAGACGTCACCAAGACAGGCTTACACCACCAGTTGTGCGTCACTCAAGGCCAACTTACAACTGAACGTATCACCGCCTTTAATGAAGGTATTCAGAAATATGTCCGGTACAGAGCACCATAGGGTAATGCACGTCAAGGAGAACTCTGTCCCGCTCTCTGGCATCCGGCGTGACCTGCTTGCGAAGTCCTTAACCCAAGTGTATATTACACAGGTAAATATAGCTCATATCCACACGTCATTGCTATACAGCAAGTGATCCGAGTTAACTTGTGCTGTCAACGATGAAGTACCTGGCGACGCCATGACGTATGATGATGCTTCAGTAGTTGACGTTAATAGGTTCCGTCATTTGTCATGAACAGGTCGGGATAATAGACGACAACGACTTCACCGACTGCACACGGTAAGTGTGTCCTTCACTGTGTGTAGTATTGCTTCTGTTTAAAATACATGGACGACGAGGTTCTGTACACAGATGCATTGCTTTGTCAGAAACTATGTATGTGTTAGATATCCTGTGAATCACAATCTGTTGATGTTTAAGCAGGACGAACCGATTTTGTAACATATCTTGTATGTCAGCTTACGTCTCCACTCATTGTTTTCGTGTTCACACCCCGAGTTGTGTGGAGCACTCCTTCTCTCCTCCGAGGAGGGCCACTGCATTAGCTATCTCAGATGCCGCAATTGGCTGTGCAGAGTCTTGTCCCTTGGACACACCAGGAAGCTATGATTGTGGTTTCTAAGCCCGGAACCCCCCAGTCAGCAGATGTGCTTGCTTGTTTTAACTGATGAGACCTGAATAAATTTGTTCTTTCTTGGAATACTGTTACGAGAGGTTAACTAGCAGATGTATAATTAGTCTCACTCACTCACTCACTTCCCTCGAGGGATGGATCAGCTGATGGTGTGGACGCCCATCGAGAGATTGAGTATCATTGTTACCAATATGAAATTCTTGTCTGGTCAATCTACAATCGGCGTTGGTGTGCGTGCGTGCGTGCGTGAGTGCGTGCGTGTCTGTCTGTGTTTTGTATGTCTGTGTTTGTGTCTGTCTCTGTGTTTGTGTTTGTATGTTTGTGTTTGTATGTGTGTGTGTGTGTGTGTGTGTGCATGTGTATTGTAAGTATGCCCATATATGTTGTGTGTCAAAGTATGTTTGTGTTTGTGTGTGTGTATGTATTTGTGTGTGTATGTATGTATGTGTGTTTGTGTGTGTGTATTTGTATGTGTGTATGTTTGTGTGTGTGGGTTTTTGTGTGTGTGTGTGTGTATGTATGTGTATGTATTTGTGTGTGTGTGTTTGTATGTGGGTGTCTGTTCTTCAGACGTCAAGCCGACATGACGTGTAATATTGATCAAAGTGTCATAACACTCGCGCATGATGCCTGTGCAAACAGGAAAAGATTCAGATGTAATGAATATAGGAAAGTTTCATTATGGCGACAAAGAATATTTCCTCCATTAACATTACCAGATCGAACCACGACCAACCACACCCAGTGACAACTCCAACCACTCCCAGTGACAATAACATTTACACTGTCTGACAACCCAGGTGATCACTCCACAGCAAACGTTGGACACTTGTCAGGACATGGAAACACTTCCCCAAGTTCCGCAGCACCACCGCCCACAAACTCCACTCTAATCTTCTCGACTCATTTACACACATGAAGCTTGTTTTCATAATCAACAGGGGGGACACACACCACTTAACTGTGTACTGTGACATATGTAAACATATGCATATGTGTTCCGAAAGGGAATACAAATATTTAGGTTGGATCCCACGTAATTTCTGTTCATCACTGTTGTTGGTGAAGTGTTCCAAACACTTTTTCATAGTTTAGAGCGTTGTTGTGGAGCCGACACTCGGCAGATACGCGGCAGACGCTTGGCGGACTCTTGGCAGACGCTCGGCAGACATGCGACAGACTCTTGGCGGACTCTTGGCAGACACTCGGCGGACACTCGGCAGACGCTCGGCAGACACTCGGCAGATACTCGGCAGACGCTTGGCAGACACTCGGCAGACGCTCGGCAGACGCTTGGCAGACACTCGGCAGACGCTTGGCAGACACTCGGCAGACGCTTGGCAGACATGCGACAGACTCTTGGCGGACTCTTGGCAGACACTCGGCGGACACTCAGCAGACGCTCGGCAGACGCTCGGCAGACGCTCGGCGGACACTCGGCAGACGCTCGGCAGATACTCGGCAGACGCTTGGCAGACGCTCGGCAGACGCTTGGCAGACATGCGACAGACTCTTGGCGGACTCTTGGCAGACGCTCGCCAGACCCTTGGCGGACACTCGGCGGACCCTCGGCAGACGCTCGGCAGACACTCGGCGGAGATTTCATTTTCCAAGCCTCATGGCTCATACCCATCCAACTGTTACTGTGATCTGTGATGTTGATATACATTGTACTCGGCATATCCACATGGACCACGTGAAATTAAAGGGAAAGAAGCTTAACATCAAACTATCGTGGAATATTGTATTGTATTTTGGTCCTAACACATCTCCTCAATCTCGCGATCCGTCAGTCAGTATACCCTCCACTGGGCCCATACGTCAGAATATGACAGTTTATATCGCCACATCAGTCAAGATTAAAACTGAACGTTGTCCTGAATGAGATATTATAACGATTTTGCTCGTAATCTAACATTGTAACATCATGGTGTACATGTGGGCTGTATTTATTAAACATTTTAAAGTCGGAAGTTCTGAAGTACACGCCTATACAATCTGTAATTGTCGATGTGTGATGTCACGAGTGTGACCTGGCAGTGACCTCCGTGACTCAATGGTGACGACCCAAGCTTGGTGTGTCTGAATAGACCCCCTTTCCTCGTATAATACTGATACTGAATCTACTAATGATGATGTGTGTTAAACTATCAATATAGTCTTGAGAAATAACACCATACAAAATTAATGGAGAGCTAAATGGTATGGAAGCGTTGAAGGAACACTATAATGTTATATCGTGCACACGGAATGACAAGGTGTGCTGACGAAGCAGTAAACTGCACACCAAATATTTGCATGAGGATACAACATTGTGAAATATATCTTTGTATCGTGAGCACAAATAGTTCACCATGTACAGCCTATAACAAAACGTGCACACGGAGTGCTAACACCTGGACCTGAAACCAGTCGAAGCCATGTGAAACCATTTTTGAAACCTGGTATATATTGGTATGTATTGGTATGTATTGGTATGTATTGGTATGTATTACTCTCGAACATTCTTACAGGATGGACATATAAGGGTGACATGGTACAGATCTTCAATATTGCTTAAATTACAATTTGTAAATGAGAGAGAGAGAGAGAGAGAGAGAGAGAGAGAGAGAGAGGAAGAGAGAGAGAGAAGAGGGAGATGACGAAATGGCCCAACAAGGAGGTAACCACACCGTCGTTGGCGGAACGTTCGGCTGCACCCGAGCAACTGTCACCAGACTGGTGCAACGACTACGACAAACAGGCAATACGTCAGACAGTCCTAGGAGTGGTCGACAACGGCCGGTGATGATCGCCACATCCGGACAATTCATCTGAGAAATCGTTTTGTAACGGCGACGTCAACGGCAGCAATGGCACTAGGACACCGTATCTGTCGACATATGGTGTACAGGCGACTAAGAGAACATGGTATTCGAGCACGTCGACCCTACCGCGGAGTGCATCGGACTCTTCAAAACCGACGTCGTCGACTAACATGGGCCAGGCGAGTTCGACGTTGGCAGTTGCATGAGTGGCGTGTGCATGTGATGTTCACCGAGGGTAGGTTTTCTGTACAGTAATGACGGCTGGGCTCGTGTTCAAAGACGAGTTGGTGAACGTTTAGCGCCGAATTGCGTTCAATCCGTCGTCCGACCGTTTGGAGCCGGTAGCGTGATGGTGTGGGAAAGATTCATTGGTGGTCACACTCACTGTTGATCCAATATTTGCAGAGAACAACGCCTTGTTGAATTGTGTAAAAGTTCAGACTATGATATCACGTGTCTCTCAGTGTCAGTCAAACGGTACTTTCGACTTAGTATGAAATAATATTGTGTCTGTTTGCTGTACAATTGAATACTCTTTTGAAATTAAACATATGTTCATTTATATATGCTTTTGTTTCTTTTCAAGTTTGGTCAAACACATTGTATACTTTCTTTTCAGCACTTGTTTACATACCCTTTCAGACTTTGCAAGTTTATGATGTCTGCCGGTATCAATGTTTAGCCTTGTGCATCCAACTCGAGCAATCTGGCACACAATATATAAAGTGTATATTGTTTGAAGATGTCTTCCATCTATCCTCGTGTATGACATCTAGAATACGATTGTTTAAAACAGTTGCGTCGAGACTTTAATTTCTGCCTTCATATCAGTGTGTTTTAAAGCAGGCAGATTTATACATATCGTAGAGCGAAGCTATCGTTTCGTCACACTATAATTTATGTAGTCGTCCGAAGTCATGCGTAACGTATAGATTTCCTAGCCCAGTGAATTGTTAACAATAGCGGCCGCGCTGAATGTAATATAATATTGCTGGTCTAAACAAGCTTCATGGAAATAGGCCGTGAGTCAGGCAATCGTGTTGGGGTCTGAAGGTGTGTACAGTGAAACAGTTAGATTAACATTCAGTCCTGCACATCGATGTTTGTGAGTTCCGTGTTCAGATTTGATCTTCATTTGTACAGGTGAACAGGAAGGGATTGGAAGCAACACCAGCACTGACCGACAACCGGGGACGTGTACAGCGAGGCAGTCTACCGTAGTTGTATTGGGATTTGACGGGTAAGTCTGTACTTGGAGTAGTCAGGGCACGTTTGTTTCTCTGTCTGTCTGTATGTCTGTCTGTCTGACTGTCTCTCTGTCCCACTGTTAACAACCACCCCCACCACCTCTACATCAACAGTCCATGCTTCACGATATGGCCTGGCCAGACCAAGGATCAACTGAGTCTATACAGTGTCTGTAACTGTCAACTGGCTGTAATTAGTCTGTACAGTGTCTGTAACTGTCAACTGGCTGTAATTAGTCTGTACAGTGTCTGTAACTGTCAACTGGCTGTAATTAGTCTGTACAGTGTCTGTAACTGTCCTGCACATACCTTCATAATGTTGAAACGTTGTTCTCCCCGTGTGAAGTATATCACACAGCACACACTGTTGGTGTTGCATTATGTCACAACCAGAGCGTGTCAGGCATGGAGTAAACTTTAACCAGAGCGTGACAACGCGAAAAATGGTGGACCTTAGTCTAAGTCTTGTCACGATTTACTTATACTCGTAATATTTAGTCTTATCAAAAGAATATACTTACGGTTGACACCAATTCTACGCACATAGATACACATGGCATGATCTTAATAATCATCATAATCAGCATGGAGTAAACATTAACCAGCGCGTGACAACGAGAACAGCAGGGAATCAAGGTCAATATGACTGATATAGTGATGATATAGTGTAGCTGTGTGCTGTTTATAGTTGTGTGGTATATTACAGTTATATGACGGTGCAGCTGTATATGAACTACTAAACTATGTATAGGTGTGTCACGTGTCGTACAGCTATATATGAACTTGTATAATTGTGTGGTATTATACAGCTGTATATGACTGTTATTTATTGAATTAAATGTCTATGTATAGTTGTGTATATTACATATATGACGGTGCTAATTATATGAACGTGATGTATAGGTGCCGGTATATTAGCAGTATATGACACACAGCTATATTGAACTATGTATAGTTGTGTGGTATATTACAGTTATATGACGGTGTAGCTATATATGAACTATGTATAGTTGTGTGGTATATTACAGTTATATGACGGTGCAATTGTATATGAACTATGTATGGTGTGTGGTATATTACAGTTATATGACGGTACAGGATTATATATGAACTATGTATAGTGTGTGTGGTATATTACAGTTATATGACGGTGCAGGTATATGAACTATGTATAGTTGTGTGGATATTACACAAGTTATTATGACAGTGCAGCTGTATATGAACTATGTATTTGTGTGGTATATTACAGTTGCATATGACGGTGCAGCTCGTATATGAACTATGATATAGGTGTGTCAGTATATTACAGTTATATGACGGTGCAGCTGTATATGTCTATGTATAGGTGTGTGGTATATTACAGTTATGTGATTGCCACAGATATATATGAACTATGTATAGGTGTGTGGTATATGTATGGTTATATTACGGTACATGTAGTATATAACTATGTATAGCCCAGGTGGTATATTACAGTTAGTATATATACTTGAGTAGCTATATATGAACTATGTATAGGTGTGTGGTATATTACAGTTATATGACGGTAACTATATATATAACTATTATAGGTGTGTGGTATATAGTGTATGCTATATATGAACTATGTATAGTTGTGTGGTATATTACAGTTATATGACGGTGCAGCTGTATATGAACTATGTATAGGTGTGTGGTATTATTACAGTTATATATACGGTGTAGCTATACATGAACTATGTATAGTTGTGTGGTATATTACAGTCATAACGCAGAGTAACCAATAGTTACATTATACTAATATAGTGTAGCTATACATCAACTGTGTATAGTTGTGTGGTATATTACAGTCATAACGCAGAGTAACCAATGTTACATTACAGCTAATATATAGAACTATGTATAACTGTGTGGTATAGTTACAGTTGGTATATTACAGTCATAGCGCATATATAAACTATGTTATAGTTGTGTGGTATAATACAGTCATATGCACTAGTGCACATATATACTCTAACTAGTGTGTATAGTTGTGTGGTATATTACAGTCATAACGCAGAGTAACCAATAGTTACATTATATCCTAATTATTATACTGTGTATAGTTGTGTGGTATATATAGTGTACTCTAATATACATATAATGAACTGTGTATAGTTGTGTGGTATATTACAGTCATAACGCAGAGTAACCAATAGTTACATTATACTCCTAATATAGTGTAGCTATACATCAACTGTGTATAGTTGTGTGGTATATTACAGTCATAACGCAGAGTAACCAAGTTATATTATACTCTAATATAGTGTAGGTATACATCAACTGTGTATAGTTGTGTGGTATATTACAGTCATAACGCAGAGTAACCAATAGTTACATTATACTCCTAATATAGTGTAGCTATACATCAACTGTGTATAGTTGTGTGGTATATTACAGTCATAACGCAGAGTAACCAATAGTTACATTATACTCCTAATATAGTGTAGCTATACATCAACTGTGTATAGTTGTGTGGTATATTACAGTCATAACGCAGAGTAACCAATAGTTATATTATACTCCTAATATAGTGTAGCTATACATCAACTGTGTATATGGTTGTGTGGTATATTACATACAGTCATAACGCAGAGTAACCAATAGTTATATTATACTCCTAATATAGTGTAGCTATACATCAACTGTGTATAGTTGTGTGGTATATTACAGTCATAACGCAGAGTAACCAATAGTTACATTATACTCCTAATATAGTGTAGCTATACATCAACTGTGTATAGTTGTGTGGTATATTACAGTCATAACGCAGAGTAACCAATAGTTACATTATACTCCTAATATAGTGTAGCTATACATCAACTGTGTATAGTTGTGTGGTATATTACAGTCATAACGCAGAGTAACCAATAGTTACATTATACTCCTAATATAGTGTAGCTATACATCAACTGTGTATAGTTGTGTGGTATATTACAGTCATAACGCAGAGTAACCAATAGTTACATTATACTCCTAATATAGTGTAGCTATACATCAACTGTGTATAGTTGTGTGGTATATTACAGTCATAACGCAGAGTAACCAATAGTTACATTATACTCCTAATATAGTGTAGCTATACATCAACTGTGTATAGTTGTGTGGTATATTACAGTCATAACGCAGAGTAACCAATAGTTACATTATACTCCTAATATAGTGTAGCTATGAGCTGTTTATCTCCGAACATTGCATTCATGATGTTAGTGAGTCAGTCCAGCATACATGATGTTAGTGAGTCAGTCCAGCATACATGATGTTAGTGAGGCAGTCCAGCATACATGATGTTAGTGAGGCAGTCCAGCATACATGATGTTAGTGAGGCAGTCCAGCATACATGATGTTAGTGAGGCAGTCCAGCATACATGATGTTAGTGAGGCAGTCCAGCATACATGATGTTAGTGAGGCAGTAGTGAGGCAGTCCAGCATACATGATGTTAGTGAGGCAGTCCAGCATACATGATGTTAGTGAGGCAGTCCAGCATACATGATGTTAGTGAGGCAGTCCAGCATACATGATGTTAGTGAGGCAGTCCAGCATACATGATGTTAGTGAGGCAGTCCAGCATACATGATGGCACATGTGACTGTATCTATGTGTCTAGCTAAATAAATACGACACCACACTTTCCACATCCATAAGAAATTTCTGCTAGAAGGAGTCCATTGTACAAATTCCACTTCTATCGTGAGCACGTGTTTATGAAGCACTATGAAACTTGACACCATGTGTTCGAGAAAAGGTGAGCGTATCCTGCCCCACCGCAGGCACCCGTCATAAACACATGCCAAGGCTAGGGAACTGTTCACCTGAAAAAAACAACCCGCGGGAGTGTATGGTACAAGTTGAAACAACATTACTTCGGATATACCGAAATGAATGTTACGTTCGCAATAACCATAGTGTACATATTAGACACGTGGTAACTAAATACATTAGCTGATTATTACCCCACACGTATATTGTGTTCGTTGTGTTAACCGCAGCAGACCACCTGAAACAGATTTAGAAAATATAAAATATGTACAGTCTACATGTTTTTGTCAGTCATGTTGTAGATACCGTTTGACAAGCCCAGGAGATTCCAACATAAGGGTAGCCATCTTTCAGTGTGATCACTCGAGCGAATCTGGCCCGTCACATTGTTGCACAATCGCTCGTTGAACAGGAAATAGCTGACGTCTTTGTCCAGGATATTTCAAGAATAACTCAAAAACTTTTTAACGCCTGTAGTCTATTGCGTTTATAATGGTCGACCTTAGTCTAAGTCTTGTCACGATTTACTTGTGCTCGTAATATTTAGTCTTATCAAAAGAATATACTTACGGTTGACATCAATTCTACGCATATAGATACACATGGCATGATCTTAATATCGGTATGATACATGGCATGATCTTAATAATCATCATAGCATATAGATACACATGGCATGATCTTAATAATCATCATAGCACATAGATACACATGGCATGATCTTAATAATCATCATAGCACATAGATACACATGGCATGATCTTAATCATCATCATAGCATATAGATACACATGGCATGATCTTAACAATCATCATAGCATATAGATACACATGGCATGATCTTAATAATCATCATAGCACATAGATACACATGGCATGATCTTAATAATCATCATAGCATATAGATACACATGGCATGAGCTTAATAATCATCATAGCATATAGATACACATGGCATGATCTTAATAATCATCATAGCATATAGATACACATGGCATGATCTTAATAATCATCATAGCACATAGATACACATGGCATGATCTTAATAATCATCATAGCACATAGATACACATGGCATGATCTTAATCATCATCATAGCATATAGATACACATGGCATGATCTTAACAATCATCATAGCATATAGATACACATGGCATGATCTTAATAATCATCATAGCACATAGATACACATGGCATGATCTTAATAATCATC